CCTTTTTAAACTCACTCTCAGACATATTGTCTTGTACCTTTGTCCAGCACCTGCTTGTTTCTTCCCAAGTATTTTCCAAATTCCAGGCCTTTTAGTTAAGTGTGTGTAACCTTGTGAAGAACGACAAAAATACTTCTTTTGGACAGTTTGCTTCTACCAAGGACGATCGTCTTTATATCATGGGAAGGAAAGAGATTTTGTCTTTTTTTTGTTCAGTTTGCCAGGCAGCTCTTCTATTTGAACAAATCTTGAAAAATGAATTTGACTACAAAATAGATCTGTTGGGTTTTTTATTTTCTTTTTGATAGGCCCTCTCTTCTGCATTTGTCATTGTAGGCTGCAAGTAGCAAGAGAGCTCTCTTGCTAAGTGGGTTTTCAGTAGAAGAAAGAAAATTGATTTGCACTATGTAGCTGGCTGATGATCTTTTCTTTTACATTATTGGAAATACCAAGGGTTCAGGGAATATTCACTGTATCAGCAGTCTTGCGTCTAATGAAGTTGTTTGGACTCTGTTCTCTGAGCTGGAGTAAAACCTTTGAAACATGTTAACCACAATTTGATTGAAAAGTGGGGGAGGGTTTTTAACAGTGAGCTTTAAGTAAACTGCATCTTTTTGAATTTCCTGGGCAGCTGCCTTTCTCCCTTTGATGTACCGTGCCTGGTGATGCTGTTAATGAAATGCATAATTATGTGTTATATAATAAAACAGAGCTAACATGAAGGTGCCTAATAGATTATAATGATGTGGAGGCCTGAGAAACTCAGGACCGTGGGGCTTGTTGAAAAGTGCCTCCGGTGACAAAGAAGATATTTAAACAGGTTTGAATAACTGTGCTAATAAATTAATTGTGGTCTGTGTGCGCGGGTGTGTAAACGACATTTTTCAAGAATTTGTATATAGAGAGAATATTGAAAAAAAATAGGTGCAATTTACTAGGCTGCTGATGGATGAAGTGTCAGCGCCGAGTGCTTCCAGTGCCTATTAGTGCTGCTGGCTTTGCACAGACGGGTGCCCTAGGCAAAGACATTTTTGGCACAGCCTGCCGCACCCGTAGGATCAAAAGGAAAAAGAAAAAATCTGGCAATATGCACAGAGAGTAAATTGCATCCTAAAGAGCAGCCCCTAAAATGCAGGCTTGGAATGAATATCAATAAATGAAACATCACGTTTAACGGTTGAAGAGTTGTAGGCGTTTGGTGGCTGCCCCCAACTTCCCCCCTTCCTTTCTCTGCTTTGTCACCTTTATTTTATCTCTCCCTCTGTAATACTCTGTATAATTTGTTCCTTTCTTAGATTCTTTAGGAACTGGTTTGAACAGATAGGTATTTTTAAAGGAGAGGCTGCATAAGCTTCCAGCCCTGGACCACATGGGCTCCTAATGGTGCTGGGCTGTGGCTGGGCTTGCTTGGCTGCTGTTCTGGGCTTACAAGGGCCTGTCTGCTGGGAGAATTAGTATGCAGGGAGCTCCAGCATGAATTTACAGCCTGCTGGTTACTTGGCACTAATTCCCTGGGTGGATGCTTCTAGTACCTACTGAGAGTGCTTTTGTGCAGGTTAGCTTTAAGAGTGCTTTCGCGTGAGTTAGGCGGGCTCCTTTTTGAAGGTGAGGTATGTTGTTTTTTTGCTTCCCAAGCACCAAGGGTACCCAAACGGGCAGTTAGTGCAGAGTAGCTAATACGCAGTAAATTCACACCCAAACTCACCGAGCACTAACTTCGTCATGCAGCCGAGTCCCGAGGCTCTGCACTTTGTCTCTCTCAGCAGGGAGCAGATGGCCCTTCTCTAAACAGGGAATGCTAATAAGGCTTTATGAAGAGCACATATATATGTGTGCGTAGGTTTGTGTGTGTCCGTATATTTATATAAGATGACTTGAATCTATCACAGTTCTTGGATTAACTTGTGCTTCCTTGATTTTCATCAAGATACCTTAAGGAGGATTTTGCTGCTGCATTGCCATCATCCTTGTCATTAATGGACTTAGGCTTTAGCTACAGGTTTTGGGCAGTTTTTGATGAATTCCTTTTTCTTCGGCGCTAAGAGCGGCATACTTTTTCTTTTTCATATATGAGTGACTGCATCTTTTGTGTGTCAGTCTGTCTTTGTTGCGATTCCCTTCCCAAGCATTTCTTATTTGATCTCTGGAGTTTATTCTTGTATTTGATATGCTTTTATAACTAATAAATGTTCTCTCACAACTTAAGGACCCTCAGTAAGAAGGAAATAAGGTTTTCTCTAGCTCTCCAAATACTCGGATGTGAAATCAAGTCAATTTTTTAACTTTTGCTTTAGGCTGGGCTTCATAAATAACTTGATCTATAATTAGTGTACAGCTTCACCTTATCTTAAGGTCACATAATGGGTTAAATTTTCATGCAAAGTTTTCTTGCAGTTTTATAAATTATTTTATCTGTTTTTCATGCTCATGCTTCAAATATATCATTAATTTCTAAGTCATCGGCAGATTTGCTTTATGTTTTTGCTCTAGTATTGCCTATTTCCAAGAAAATTTCATATCACAAAAATTGCTTCTCTAGTTTCCATCTGTAGTGAGAGTTCAGGACAACTCTATCAGCTCTATTTTGGCCAAAGTTTAAATTTACTTACATACAAAAGATATTGCTCAAAATGCTTTTAACATGTCTTTCTTTAATGACCTCAGCCATACTAGCCTGCCAAAGATAAACAGCATTTCTGCTCGGCAGGCGTTAACTCTTGGACAAAGTGAAGTCCGACGCTGAACCCAGAGGCACTTGCTCCGAGTGTTCAATGCGCTGTTGTAGAGAGGAGCCATCCCCCCCCCAATCCCAGCACTCAGGAGGGCTGCAGGGCTGGGGAAAATCAGCACAAGCCTCAGAGTTTCTCAATAGCAGATGTAAAATGCTGCTGAATGTTTGCGACAATAAAGGATGAGGGCCCGGGCCAGGCCAGCTTGACTGTCCCTGCTAGAGGATGGGAGGGTAGGAGGAAGGGATAAAATGAGATGAAAAACAAGGAGGGGAGCCTGGAAAGCCAGGCTCTGGTTCTTGCTGTTCTGGAGATATTCTGTATAGGTTAAAGCAACACTTGAGAGTGTTTTTTAGAGTTTGAGTTTCAAGGGTTTTTAAATTTAGAGTGCTTTTATAGATTTTTAGTGGTATTTAGAGTGCTTTTATATATTTTTTGTGGTTTTATATTAATTTTTAATGCTGGTTTTATTCCAGAAAAGTTCCCCATAGCAAGATACTTTAAAAAAACCTTAAAAGGAATCCACAGTAAAGGAGTCTCCATCTGTGTGAATGAGTTGCGGCAGATATGATGAAGCAATTCTTCAAATCCCACAGTTGCTGTTTTCCTTTCAACTGATGTGTTCCTGGTGTTTTTAAATAAAACAGTTGAATACTAGGTTTAAAGAGACATTCAAAGAATGCTGTGGTGTTATTAGAAATCCCTGGCTATGTCCAAGCAGAAAGGACAGTTGCATGACCCTGTCGTACACGGCTGACCATGCCATATGAGTCCCTTGTTGAGATATACTGTAAATCATCCTGGATGTTATCTTTCCAAACCCAGAACAGAGACAGAAGGAGGGTGAAAGTATAAGCCTGGATAAGTTTGCTACAGCTTATCAGGCAGAAATGTGTTTATTGGCATTCTTTGAATGTAGATTCTTGGAGTACTTAACAATCTCTAGCTAATGAGGTCTATTAAATGGCAACGTGCTGCAATTCACTTTGTCTGAGTTGGAGAGAAGTTTCTCGGCGAAAGCCTCTTAGGGTTATGAGGAAAGTTTGCATATTTAATCCCAGGATAATTGCTAATCAATATCCCTTTTTAATAGGATGCAATGGTAGCGGAAATAGTGGGAAGTGAAAGGAGATAAGACTTTTTAGTAAAAACTGCTATTAAGGTAATGTAAAGAGAATATTTCTGTGCAGTCATTTTCGCCATGAAAAATATTTGACTTGATTGTGAGTTGGGCATAAACAGTATTAAGTGCATTCACATTACTCTCTACTTTGCGTACGAGGATTCACTCTGAATCCTTTATTCAAAGGCAGTTGTATCGGTGTGCTTTGTTAAGGCACTGCCACCACAGCTGTTAGACATTGGCGGTAGTAGGTCAAGAGAACTCAGTCTACCTCTGTGTTGCAGTGAGCTAACAGTACTGTTACGGTGGCTGTGTCCAACCGCAGAGGCAAAACCAAATAACTGAAAGGGGATAAAGTATTAAAACACGCTACACGTTTGCCACTCATCTGACCATACCCTCACTACATCGGGAGAAAGTGCAAGTATACTTACGAAAGGTGTTTTAGGTGAGATACTATAATTTGTGCATATGTTTCTCTACAACCAGCGCTGCAGTGCCACATTCATAGATTTGAGATCATGGGGACAGGGATGTCTGCACCATGCCTTGTACTGCCGAATGTTGTTCAGCGTGGTAACTGTGTGATGTTCCTGCTGCTTGATCTCCTGAGCTGGACTTCTGTTGAAAGCTTCTTGTTCCCTTTTCTGGCATCCTTCAAGACAATGTTTGTACAAGGATCTTGTTCTGTCAGGAAGCAGCAGTATGGGAAAACAATTTTATATCTCCTGAGCTCAGCAAGAAAGAAAAAATATTTGGATTTGTTTGCATTTTTTAATATTTGTCACAATGCCAAGCTATTTTAAGCAATCTGGCTACTCTGTCTCTACTTACCCTCCTCTCATGCTTCAAAATTATCACAAGCCACCTGAAATATGGGAATCAGATGCGAGTTTTAATGTAAGTGCAGTGCTTCAAGCTGATAGGAACGGGAGGGGGAGCTGTCACTGCATCAGCCAAGACTCTCTGGTGGAAGTGTTGATTGATTACCTATCCCTGGGAAAGGAGGGGGAGCGCCCTTCCACTTTTAGCAGACTGAATTGCTTCCTGTTCCCTTGTGAAAGAAGTAGGTAGTCCTGTGCAACCATTGCCATCGTCTCCAGGTATATGAAAAAAGTGGAAAGTCCTTTGTTCTGTTTTCTCCTTAGGTAGAGATCACGAATGATGTCCAGTCCCTGCTACTGATAATGCTGGCTGTCATGGTGGCCAAGATGGTTGGTGACTTGTTCAGCACATCCCTGTACAGTTCCCTCCTGAAGCTGAAATGCATTCCCTACTTGGATGTGGAACCTTTTGTTCGTCACAGGAGAAAATGGTGAGGTCTCTTATGTTGCTGATCTGTAAGTTTTCTGCGTCATGTTCTGCACGGAGACTGTGTGGGTTCTCTGAGACCTGGAGCTTGGAGGGACAAAGGAGTAAAAGGAGACCCTGATCCTGAACAATGTCCCCACAGTGTGATGTGCTGTACAAATAGAACAGAAGAGAGTCCCTTTCTCTTCAAGTTTATGGTAGGATCTGAATCACCACTGTCACCAGAGTCCTGAGAGCAGTAAGTGCCCTATAATTAATGCCCAGTTAGATGCTGTTTATTAGTGGTCCAATTGGTCCAATGGAGAATCTAGTAGAGGTTTTCACAGACAGGTGTGACTCTGTTTCTTGTGAGCAGATGCCACAGAGCAGAGGAACAACAACAGAGTATGTAGAGTCCTTTATGGTGGAGTTTGCCTTACCCGACTTCTGGATGACTAGTCTGGGCTTCCTGTGTGTTTGGTACTGTAAGATGTACGTTTTCAGACAGCGATTCCAGCAATTTAAGGCAGGTAGGATAAATTGTCTTCTGGAAGTGCCTCCACTGACTATAGACTAAATGAATAGCTTGGAAAAAAGTTATGGTTTTTATTTTTTAACTCATGTTAATCCAACCAGTCCTGTATATCTTCCAGTATGTGAACCAGTATCCAAAACTTCCGTCTGTTCATGGGCATTTATAACCACTAATAAGAACCATTTTCTCTCCTAAATGTGGGTGCTGGGTCTACATTTATCTGTGGGTAGTGAGAACTCTGTACTATTGTCTTCTATAAAATAATTAGCAGAAATGCTGATTCTTTAAGATATTCTCTAAGAATGAATTAGGTAATGTGGTGAAGAAATAGAAGGAAAAATGAATTTATTTATTTACCATAGAAAGACTTTTTCTTTTCCTTAAGGCATATTTGGGTAGTATATATCCACAACCAAAACTATTTGCAGGACACTTTAGCTGTCATTTTACCCAGTATTGAGGTCTACTGGACAATCTCTTAGTTTCAAATGACCCTTTAGAAGAATAAAATATTGGCGACTCATTCTGTCCACACTTTATAACTTTCTTCCAAATGTAGCCATATCTGAAAGTTTTTAGCAGGCACATTGAATGCTGGGTATAATCTAACTGTATTTGACATGAGAGGAAAAAGAGCCAGCAATGTGGTAGGAGGAAATAAAAACAATCTGTGACATTATGGATGACTTCTATATGTACCATGGCAGATAAAACAGAGGGGAAGAAGTCATAAAGTTTCCCATGGTATTCCAGTTAGATGACAAGTCCATGGAAAGAATTATAGCTGCTTTCCTGGTTCAGAGTGAGGGCCTATTCACTTGAAGGACAAATATATATATATATTTTTTTATATATATAAAATTTCATTTCCCTCCCACTCCTTCCCCTTTCCTCTCCAGGAACATTAAAGAAAGTTTCTGGATAACTTGGTCACAGATATACTGATACTCCAAAGCAAAATACATAGTATCACAACTTGGTAAAGATTTTATAGCTAGACACTTTACAGGCTGCCAAGTTTTAGTCTAAATCCTCTTAGACATAGTCTGAATAGGCTGATACACATCTGAACTGGCAGATGTAGTTGCTAAGCCGCTCTCCATCATACTTGAAAAGTCTTGGCAGTCAGGTGAAGTCCTCAGTGACTGGAAAAAGGGAAACATCACACCCATTTTTAAAAAGGATAAAAAGGAGGACCATGGGAACTACCAACCAGTCAGCCTCACTTTTGTGCCCGGTAAGATCATGGAACAGATCCTGCTGGAAGCTATGTTGAGGCATTTGGAAGACAGGGAGGTGATTTGAGACGGCCAATACGGCTTCACAAAGGGCAAATCATGCCTGACTAATCTAGTCGCCTTCTACTATAGAGTGACTGCATCAGTGGGCAAGGGAAGAGCTATGGATGTCATCTACTTGGACTTCTGTAAGGCCTTTGATACAGTCCCATACAACATCCTTTTAGCTAAATTGGAGAGAGATGGGTTTGATGGATGGAATATTTGATGGATAAGGCATTAGCTGGGTGGCCGCATCCAAAAAGTTGTAGTCAATGACTCAATGTCCAAATGGAGATCAGTAACAGGTGGTGTCTCTCAGGAGTCCATATTGGGACCGGTACTGTTCAATATCTTTATTAATGACAGACAGTGGGATTGTACCCTCAGAAAGTTTGCAGATGACACAAAGCTGAGTAGCGCAGTTGATACGCTTGAGAGAAAGGATGCCATCCAGAGGGACCTTGACAGGCTTGAGGAGTGGGCCATTGTGAACCTCATGTAGTTCAACAAGATCCTGCACCTGCGTTGGGGCAATCACCAGTATCAGTACAGACAGGGTAATGAATGGATTGAGAGCAGCCCTGTGGACTTGGGGATATTGGGAGATGAAAAATTAGATATGAGCTGACAATGTGTAATTGCAACCCAGAAGGCCAATTGTACCCTGGGCTGCATGAAAAGAAGTATGGCCAGCAGGTCGAGGAAGGTGATTCTCTCCCTTTGCTTTTGTGAGACCCCACCTGGAGTACTGCATCCAGCTCTGGAGTCCTCATTACAAGAAAGACATGGGCCTTTTAGAGCAGATCCAGAGGAGGGCCATGAAAATGATCAAAGGGCTGGAACACATCTCCTGTGAAGAAAAGCTGAGAGTGTTGTGGTTGTTCAGCCTGGAGAAGAGAAGGCTCTGGGGAGTCCTTACTGCAACTTTTCAATACTTAAAGGGGGCTTATAGGATGGATGGGGAGAGACCTTTTACCAGGTTCTGTAGTGATAGGACAAGGGGCAACAGTTTTAAACTGAAAGAGGATAGGTTTAGATTGGACATAAGGAAGACATTTATTATGATGAGGGTGGTGAGACACTGCAACAGGTTGCCCTGAGAAGTCGTGGGTGCCCCATCCCTGGAAGTGTTCAAGGCCAGGTTGGACGGGGCTTTGAGCAACCTGATCTAGTGGAAGGTGTCCCTGCCCATGGCAGGGGGGTTGGAACTAGATGATTGTCAAAGGTTCCTTCCTACCCAAACCGTTTTATGGTTCTATGATTCTATGGCACTGGCCCGTTTCTTGGTCTCTCCAGCATACTTCTTGGATGCTATGTTACCTTGTTATCCCCTCAAACAAATCAATCTTCACCATTCAGCCACCTTAGACGTCCAGGATTTGGACCGATCCCTAGATCTGTCTTATAGCTTAGGCATCCCAAACCCTGAATATTGACTCAAGGGAACTCTGGATTTATAATCTGCCTCTTAAAGTAAAAAATGTCATAATTGAAACAAATTATGAAGCCTAACATGCAGTCTTTGTAAGAATTCCAAAACCAAGATCCTATTACTTTACCTAGCATGAGAAATACACAGATTAAGACAAGACAGTTTAAAAAAAAATTAGTCTCTGTACATGTTTCCTTATCTCTGTTTCCTCATCTCTTCTGAGCATCCTTGAAACTTGAGTCAAAATTCTACAGAAAGGTGCCTGGCCATGACTTTTCTTTCCATGTGTTTTCCCTGCGGACCAAGATTTCTCATTTGTTTTCTCTCTGACTGCTCCTGCAGCTAACAAGATGCTGTGGGAGCCTCCCTATCTGCTTCTCTAGTCTTTCTTTTATCTCAGAGTGACCACCCAGGGTATGTAAGGCTTTGCTGTTTTTATGTTCCACTTGTTTGCTACACTTTGGGAGTATTTTTATCTTCAAATGTGTCGTGGTTTAACCTCAGTCGGCAACTGAGCACCACACAGCCACTCGCTCACTCCCCTCCTCCCTCTCTCCCCCCGGGTGGGATGGGGGAGAGAATTGGAAGAGTAGAAGTGAGAAAAACTCGTGGGTTGAGATAAAAACAGTTTAATAATTGAAATAAAATAACAATAATAATAATGTAATAATAATAATCCCGGCCAGCTTTCCCCAGTTTATGTACTGAGCATGACGTCACATGGTATGGAATGTCCCTTTGGCCAGTTTGGCTGTGCCCCCTCCCAGCTTCTTGTGCACCTCCAGCCTTCTCAGTCAGTAGAGCATGGGAAGCTGAAAAGTCCTTGACTAGTGTAAGCACTGCTTAGCAACAACTAGAACATCGGTGTGTTATCAACATTGTTCTCATCCTAAATCCAAAACACAGCGCTGTACCAGCTACTAGGAAGGAAATTAACTATCCTTGCCGAAACCAGGACAGAATGTCTACACCTAGATGTCAGTTTTGCACAGGCTATCCTCTTTCTCTGGTTGTGTCAGCTTGGCTGAGGGTTTGCAACCACGTTATTGCTGCTCTGGGAAAGTGTAGGTGACACAGTTACATGTGTGGCAGGTTCTACATCCTCTTTGTTCAGTATTAATTATTCTGTAAAATCACAAAATGTATAAACTGTGCATTGCTGGATTCCCCAAATCATAACAGGGACAGGGGTCAGCTGTGTAGGAACTGGTAGCTAGCATATGTTTATAAACAGGTGATAAATTCTATTTGTGTATGCAGAGTGAAAGATTTGGATGACTAGCAGCCTGCTTAAATGCCATAGAAATGCCCCATAAATTGGGATCCTTCTTCAACTGAAACTGAAAAGCCTTTGGAAAACAGTGCCTTGTTGGTAACAGGGAGGAAAAATGAGAAACTCAAGAGAACGCATATTTTTAGGTCCTCAGCACTCATACTGTTAGAGAGAAAGTGCGGATCTTTGCTTTCCCAGTTCTTCATCGGTGTTAAGGATGAAAAGACCTTCTGTATTTGATCATTTGTTGATTTCCCTTACAGGGCTGGATAACATCCCTGGGCAGAAAATGTGTTAGACACCGAACTGAGAAGAGAAAATAGCCTTTCCATGAACAAGGTGGGGGGTGTTGTTAAGGTCCAGATCCACAAAAGAATTTAACTCTTAACTGCTGTGGAAATCAGTGGGTACATTAAGAAGCTAAATTATTACATGCTCACTATGAAGACATGTCTATAAATACTGTTATATATGAAACTGATGGAGGTGAGACCTAGATCCTCAG